CGCTCCTTTCAAGCCCATTTTTTCTTGGTAACTCTTGTAATAAAAAGAAAACAATATTGTTAAGGGAGGGGGATTAGGTCAGATGTGGGGGAAGGGCAGTTACCAAAGGGGTGAGCAGGTAGGTGAGTGAAGCCCTTAGTAATACACACCCAGACATGCAGACACCTTCAGGTTCATGGGGAGGAGGGGAAATAATATAAAAATATTAAATAAATTAGAAACAAATGCAGTAAAAGTGAAACAGAAACCACACACTTTCTGTCGGTCTAAAGAGGAAAGTATCCCAGCTCTTTCAGAAAGTATATACGTCTTGAACTTAGCCTAATAGCTCATTCAGTAGAACATGAGACTCTTAATGTCAGGGTTGTGTGTTCGAGCCTCACACTGGGCAAAAATTCCTGCATTGCAGGGGGTTGGATGAGATGACCCTCATGGTCCCTTCCAACTCTATGATTCTGTGATTCAGAAATTGCAGAGTTTCCATTGGTCTATAGAGGAAAGCTTTGCAGCTCTTCCAGAAAGTAAACACTACAGCCTCAGACTTTGACCAACATCTAGGCCAAGGAAATTCTTGGGTCAGCCAATGAGAACATGCCCTCGCTTTTGGAACTTGGTCCATAGTCTGTGCAGTTAAGAAAATGCTTTCAGTTTATCTTAACAAGTATGATGACACCAGTTGTGTATCTTTGGAAAAAGCTTCTTCAGATATGTGCCCAGATTAAATTAAAACCAACCCTGGGCAACCTGCTCCAAGTCCCCTATTTGAGCTGCAGGGAGACTGGATAGATCTTTCTTGTGGCAGTCCTGGAGTCCTGCTTCAGGCATTAGAGTAGAAATAGTGGAGACCGAATGAGTGGCTCTTGTTTCCTCATTCCCCACTTTTATGAAAATAGCTTTAAGTCTAGCCTTGATAGTTGGATCATTCCTCACATGAGCATTTGGATGTATCGCCTCTGAGCTTTGGTTCTTCGGTTCATTTTAAAATTAACAGACTAGGAATCCTTAAGCAAAATCACTGTCTCTTAATGATACCAAGCATTTCCAAGCTCTTCATTGTAACCTCAACACGCAGCATTGCATATAAGTGTACTTTTCAGAACAGTATGTGCATTTTATTTGCTCATTAAAAGCACAATTGGGAGGGAAAATACATCAGAATGACAAAACAGGGAAGTGGAACAAAACAACGTTTTCAGAATGTATATAAATTTTAAATATTGGAAATTTATTCTAATGGAAATGTTCCAGTTCAAGAACTCCATATAAATCACGCAAATGACTTTGCATACACAAAAGAAACTGTTAAATGTGAATCTATTCAAAGTAAAAATGGGCTCTCTAATGGTAAAGATGTGAGCTTCAAATGATAAAACAGCTGGTTATAGGCAAAAATTCCTGCAGGAGAGCTAAAGGGAGAAAGTCAAGGGCTAATTCACACAGCATGCCAAGTTGACTATGTGAATTGGCAATAACAGAGGTACACAGTTTGTTCACTGCAACCAGAGTCTACCTGCACAAGTCCATCCAGAGTATTCAAGATTGGGAAGTGGATAGGGGTGAATGCCACATAAACAATGCTACCCCTTAAGACTTACCACCTGAAGTGGGGTGAGTTCAACCCTGCTTTCTCTGCAGGGACCATTGGCACAATTACATTTTCCGCAAGGACCTCAATTCATGCAGCTAATCCAACCATGTCTCTGTCTGTCATGCATATGATATCAGGTGGGTGAGGTTTTGGTAAAACCAGCTTGCAGGCCAAATTCGGACCCATGCTGGGCCAAATTTGGCGCAGGACTGCAGGTTCCCTAACCTTGCCATAAACCTTTAGCATCTGCTCCTTTCTCGGAGGGTTTATAGAGACACTTTTGTGGTAAGCAAATGTCAATAAAGCTCAATTTAAAGTGAAACATTAAAATCCTAATCAAAACTTTGACTTCCATTTATTCTAATGAACTTCTGAATTCTGAGCGTGCTCTGCTGAAGCAACCTGGAAGTTTCAAAATGTGGGGGAGGGTGGAAGGGGGAAGAAAGAATCTGAGAAGTATGAAGTTGGTTCCTTCCTGCTAAACTAGCAAGGAGGGTAGGATTGGAAAGGTGCTTTGGAAGAAAAGAGAATGGAAAGCTGGATTCCAAACCACCTAGCAGGAATGTCAGGTCATGTTAACATCAGCATTCAGAGATGGCAAGTCTTGAGCCGAGGCCTATGAATGCAGCTTTATTTTAGACTGCCTCACAAATCAGGAATTTGTGCCTCTATTCAATGTGAGATAGCTTCCTTAACTCAGGGAGCACATACACATACAGTTCTACACAGTACATCTCAGGATTGCACATACTTTTGTATGGGAGGTATGAAAATTTTGGAGGCAGTACCATAGAAGTATTTTGGGTGCACCGGCCAGGGTTTGATGAATATTATCTTTCCTGACTGTCTGATTTTTACAATGGTGGTTGTCAGGAGAGAGAATGGAACAAAGCATTTGCAGATACCTAGTTATGATGTAGGTGGGAACCTTTAGAGTTCCCTTTCTGTGACTAGGAATACATTCAGCTTTGGAATACAGGAATACGTTCAGCAAATTGTAGTGGAGAACAGGAGCCCATTTAGCCATGCAGCTATGTAAGAATGAATCTTAGCCTAGTAATTGCAAATTTATTGTTGGATCTTGGAAAACTTGCTAAAATCAACGGAACAGATCTGCCAACCAATCATGTACACTTATAAAAATCTGAACATTGTTTGAATATTGCATGAATCCCTTTACCATACAGAGATTTAAATACATTACACATACACCTCTTTATCTTGGCTTCTGATACTTGAGATGTACATTTTTAGGACCCATCCTATTTCTGTGTTTGTAAGTTGTTTTAAATTGGGACCTTAGGGGGAAGGGTGAGTAAATAATAGTAATATGCATTGTACACATAGGAATTAATTTATTCTTAGGCTCAATGATGGGAAATTTATTGGCCACATAACATAATTTCAAGAGAATGGTGATGTTTATGTCAAACATATGAAGACCAATCACTCATTCTAATAGTTCCTTAACATCCAGAAAGGACAATTTGTTCTCCTAAATACTGCTAATGTGATATACTGCTCTGAAAATTCATCACCAGGCTTGCAGGATCAGCCCTGCTGTGAGTTGAATCTCTGGTTCCAGAGAGTCTAAGTATCTAAATCTGAGGTTTAGATTGGTGAGTCATCTTCCATCATCCCAAATACTAAACTTAGCACTCCTTTTCAAGCAAGTTGCTTGCTTGGAAATAAGTCATTAAATGCTTTGCCCTGGGCAGCAGAAATGAGGAGTTTGCTGATGCACTGTAAGAGGATTTAAAAGATGATTAATTTCTTGAAGGCAAAACAGCTGGCCCATGTTTGGCCAGAAGATATTAATTGGGAAACATGAGATGACTTAAGAATTTGTAGAGCCTCATGGTAGTGAGAAACATGAATCTTGCAGACAGATGTATATCAAACCCTGAGGACCTCCACTGTGGCTCATGTCACCTGCCACAAAGTTAATCTTAAATAATGTGAAATTAGATGGCTACTAAAACTGATGCCAAGTACACCAAGAAAGATTACAAGAAACAAACTATTCGGGGTGGGAGAATATCTCAATGTAATTAGTTGCTCCATACCAGAGAATGGATTAGGAGACATATGCAGAAAGCAGCATTTCCAATTACTCAAACCCAGTGGGGTTCTAGACAGTAAATGCTACAGCACAATAAATATGTATACTGAAGGCTGCAATCTCATGTGAACTTTCTTAGGAGTTAAGTCCCATTGATCTGAATGGGCCTGCTTCTGAGTAGGCAAGCTTAGAATTTAGGGAAATTCATTTTGTAGTGGCACTGAATTTACTGGATCCAATAGTTTGAAGAGAAGAAGAGTAGAAGAGTTCGGATTTGATATCCTGCTTTATCACTACCCAAAGGAGTCTCAAAGCGGCTAACATTCTCCTTTCCCTTCCTCCCCCACAACAAACACTCTGTGAGGTGAGTGAGGCTGAGAGACTTCAAAGAAGTGTGACTAGCCCAAGGTCACCCAGCAGCTGCATGTGGAGGAGCGGGGAATTGAACCCGGTTCACCAGATTACGAGTCTACCACTCTTAACCACTACACCACACTGGCTCTATATATCAAGGCTATATATAAAACGCAGGGCTGTCATCTTGTGCAACTGATAACCTAGATCCAATTTTTCCATGTGCACATTGGTGCAAGTGTGTCCACAGAGGAGTGCTTTAGATTTTCTACCTCTGATTCCTCAACTAATGTTTACCATACACACTAGAGGGCAGTCTTTGATGGGATGTGTCTACATGGTATGAACATGCCCCCTCCCCTCAATTACTAAGTACCCAACCTCTCTTACTTTTTTTCCAATTTGGGAATGTGTAAAACAAAATCCCCAGGAAATCTGCAAGAATGTTACCAACATGTTTCACAATGGGCAAAAACGAAGGGCTGTGCATTTGGGGTCAGCTGGTAGGATGGGAAAATACACAAAAAATTAATCTGTAACCATGAAGAAGATTATTGCAGAAGATACCCTTGACCTGTAACTAGAAAGGTTGAGAATGTCCAATTGTATGCTTGCTTTCCTCCCTCCCAGATGATGGCTTTCTAAACAACCCATTATGTAACCCAGGCATTTAGCAAATATTTAAAATCTTGGGGAAAGTTGTCAAATGATACATGAAATTAGAAGTTGTGCAAGCACATATATCTTCCATAATGTCCTATGTAAAATAATTGCCCATACCTGGTAAAATGGACCTTTAAAGGAATCTTGAAGCGCTAACGCACCTGGAGGACCCTAGAAAGAGAAAACAGTTCATTGTGTCTGGTCAATATAATATTTCTTGCTCGACAAAATAGTGTGATAGGCATTATTCATTTATTTTAACTGAACTGAAAGTATCTCCACACAACTGGAGATTATATATATCTTATATGAAAAATTGTCACAGGCCAGCATAAAAAAATATGGAATTTTGCCGTTTGTCCTTGTGCAGGGGCCATGCTAATAATCTTCTCTGTATCATTCAATTTTAGTATGAGTGCTGCCAAAACAAGCCCAGTATCTATCTATGAAATAAAAAACCTGTTCTTATCCAAAGCAGATGAAATTTGAAAGACATTTGATTACTGTCTAAGGTCAACAAAAATATAATTAACATTAATCTTAGTCTGAATCACTTTTGTCAGGCTCCATAAACATAAAATGTTCAGGCTTAACAACTTTAAGGTGTATAATGCTACATTAGAAAGGGAGTGGTGGCAAACTTCCAACAACTTCTGTAAGACATATCAAATCCCCAAACTTTCTACTCCTGGTAACACACAATATTTATTTGGCAGTTAAATGCCTTACACGGTCAGACCAATAGTCCATCTACCCCAATACTGTACTATTTTGACTGGCACTAGCTCTTAAAGCTGGGATTGAACCTTGGACTTTATATATGCAGAGCATGTGCTCTACCACTAAGCTGAGGCCATTCCCCTTAATGTGATAATGCTACAACAGAACCACAGTTCAAGTGAAAGTATGTTGATGATACAGTATACTGTAATGGTGTCTGTCTCTGTGTACGTTTACTGCTGTTTTTAGTATTTTAAATGTTATTGCAAATGTTATGGTCTGACTTGGCACCTCAAACTTTTTTTTTGACGAAAAGACAATGTATAAATGTTTTAAATAAATATACAACTTACACCAAACCAATGTGCATTTTTGAACTACAGTCTGTCTAGAGAAGCTGTCAAGGTTGGAAAGCAGAGCAACAATCCAACTAAAAGGATTGGGAAAACATTCAGTATTAGAATTATCCTCCCCTCCACCTGCCTTATCACAGAGCAAGACGATTTTCCAGGTTAAGAGGACTGTCAAATTCACAAAAAAGAAGCGGACCATCAAGGGAATTGAAGCTAGTCTCAGCACAGTTCATAAATTTCAGCAGAGGACCACCCCAAGAGAGCTATCCTACTACAGAAGCTTCCACACTTTGAAAAGGTCTAATCAGGGCATGCCGAACAGGATCAATCATAGCTGCGGCCATCGAGGCCCAGAATTACAAAATGATAAATATTTATAACTATGCAAATATATAGACTTTTTAAGGACCAAAGAGAAATAATAAAAAAAGCCTTGCAAAGCAATTTTAAAGCAGCTACTATGTAAGAGACAGAGAAAGAGAAATACAATTCAGAAAAAAAACCAAGGGACACTATCATTTTGTTGTTGTTTATATTGGCCTTAAGCCAGATGATTTTTAAATATCTCTGATATATTATAATGCTCTTGTCAGAGGATGGAATACAATTGGTGTCACTCCACTGAAAGAAGGCATCTGTCAACAGAACAGGGAGGGCGATAATTTTGGGCAATTTAATTTCCTTCTTGCAGCCTTCAAATGCATGCACATATCTTATCTGTTCAAAAGGGTCTCCCAATCCTCCAAAGCAGATTCTGGAGGGAGGGAGGGGGTTGCAGGGCAGAGGAAGAATAACCAAACATTATCTGCCTTTCCATTTCACCAACCGATGCTTTCTGTTAGAGGAGCGACATCAATTAGGATTCCACTCAGTGTTTTCAGTTCAGAGTCCTTTGTAAGCACCATATCATTAATGCCCACAGCACTCTTAAAAAGATAAGCAGGTGCATTATAAACACAGAGAGATTATGATCTTCAGTGTCAAGCACTTGGTCCCTGAACCAAAGGGAATGGGAAGTCAGCCTCGACCAAGAAAGGCAGTCTTACACCAACACTTAGGGGTAAAACCAGAGCTAAGTGGTCCTTGCTTTGCATGCAGAAGTTATCTGATTCAATCGCTGGTATCTCTAGTTAAAAAGGATCAGGGAGCAGACGAGGGGAAAGACCTGCCTGGGAGTTTGAGAAGTATGTTACAATTATAATGCTTTACTTTTAGACAACATACTATTTAAGCAATGGGTCTATTTATAAACGTTAGCCATATCCACAAGTTCAAAGTCTACCTATGTTCTAGCATCACAACAAGAAAAATAACCCAAGACTGGTCCATGCTAACGAAACAGGGAATCTACGCAAGCTCCCACTGAATATATTTGTATTATAATTTTTATTACCATTAGCCATACAAAAATTCGGAAGTAATAGAATGAGTAAATAAACAATTTCATAATTTCATAACTAGTTAATTGGGCCTTTAGAGATTAACACTGTGCCCTTTGGAATGGTAAAATATGTTTGTTGACTTTCCTTCACACAAATACTTATTTCATTAGTCTTTCAGCAACACAGTGCATAGCTGAGTCAGCATTCCAATCAAAAACTCCTAGTTTTACATCTGTAGTTCTAGCTTCTGATTAATTCCAGTGATACCTTTGCTTTATGTATATAAAAGGGGGGTGGGGTATCAGGCACAATAAACTATTGGATTGGAAAGGCAAATGAACTGGTTATCTTCCTTGAAGAAAATAGCTGATAACCCGAAAGTATATCTTCGTTTTAATTACATAACTTTTTCCTAACAATGCATTCTATATGGATTTGAGTAACATAATGTATTAAAATGTTGCTTTAGATTAATAACATGAGGTTACCGGATATGATCAAAATAACTATTCTTGTCCTACCAAGGCAACCCCACAAAAGTATACATTTTAAAAGTAGTGATCAATTTTTTACTTTTTCAGAAATAATTCTACTATTCACATTCAAAGAGAAAGCAGGGATCTGTTAGCATATCAGAGAAATGAATCGTTCTTTGCCTTTTAGCCGAAAATTCAGAATAAAAAGGTGGCCTGTATGATAAGATTTCTAATATCCAACAATGAAATCCTAAACACATTTGCCTGGGAGTAAGCCCCATTGAATACAGTGGAAGTTACTAGCAAGTAAACCCAAATAAGATTAAACTGTGAGTCTTCTAATACCAGTATCATTGCTTTTCACAGTACACCAAGCTCATAAGCAAGAGATATTATCATCTAAAGAATGAGAATTGGGATAATTTGAAGAACAGTATGAAGAATATAGCACTAATACAGTGGTTTTGTTTTGTTTGTTGATGTCAGATGGCTATCCTGAGGATACATTTCCTAAGGGGGGCATAGATTGGCTCCCATATAATCAAGCTGTAAAGTGTCTTAACAAAGCTACAAATGAGGTAAATATGATATGTCAAGGGAGCATGATTTGCATTTTGACACTGAAGCTTTTTCCAGCAAGCTCCATCTGTTCCGTAAGAATGCACTGAATGGGCAAACATCACAAATACTCCACAAGGCAGAAACCCCTAGCTGTTCTTCCTTTGAATATTACATTTTAAACATAAGAGAGAAAAACCCAAGTAAGTGGAAGGGGCTAACCTAAAAGGCCATTTAACTGATGGAGGTACAGATATCTCATACAGGTAATGGCTTTTCTCAGAACAAAAGACAATGGAAGACGATGTGTTCATTTAGAACTCTCTATGGCAGGGGTGGCCAACTCCCAAGATGCTGCGATCTACTTTCTGAATTAAAATCTGGCAGTGATGTACCCCCATTTTTGTTGGGTTCAGCTCAGAGTTTTTTTTAGGGGAGGCAAAGTTGTTGAGCTCCTGTGGGGGGAGCCAGTGATCTACCAGTGATCTACCTGTTGGACGCGCCTGCTCTATGGAACTTAGAGGCACAAGGCCACATTCAGGAAAAACAGGTTAGCAGAAGCAAGTCAGTTAACAATTATTTAGACACTGCTCTTTTCTGTCTAGATTATACAGAAGTGTAGAATTAGTTGTGAAGTACAGTGGTACCTTGGGTTACATACACTTCAGGTTACAGACTCAGCTAACACAGAAATATTACCTCAGGTTAAGAACTTTGCTTCAGGATGAGAACAGAAATCGTGCTCTGGCGGTATAGCGGCAGCATGAGGCCCCATTAGCTAAAGTGGTGCTTCAAGTTAAGAACAGTTTCAGGTTAAGAGCAGACCTCCAGAACAAATCAAGTACTTAACCAGAGGTACCACTGTAAAGTCAAAGCTGCTGCAGCCATGGGTGAAGGACAGTTTGTGATTTACGTGCACTTTACAAATTCACTCTTTTTTAATAGTTAACACAATAGTGGGGAGCACCTTGCACTTCACAGGTCCCCCTCTTCCTCTTTGGCTAAGGCAACATCACAAATTCAGACCAGCCTTTGCAGTCTAGCTATCAAGGATTACCTTAGATCAAACAGCACTTCAATTCTAAAACCTTGTCACGACAAAAGTGTTGCAACCAAAGCAAGACCAACTCCATTTTTTTAAATAGCTTTAGAGAGGGACAGAGAAAGAGCAAATCACAAGAGTGTGTGTAGAGAGAAGTATTATTAAGAGCATGCAAAGGCATGACCTTTAAAACAAGGGTATAAACAGGAAAATGCATAGCTAGTTGAGGTTTGGAAACACCTAACTTTGCAGTTAAGCCGACAGTAAGACTGTATCACTGGGTGTCTTGTATGTCTAACCTATATGACTATAAAAACTGTTTGTAAACAGAAATCAGGGTTCAGCCTCTGATCACTTTCATGATCACTTGCTGTAACCTTTCCTGTTCGAGCAAGAAAAAAACCTTCTCGGGTGTCATTCGTCGTTGGTGGTGAGCAAAGGACTTGGCTGTGCAATGGACATCAAGTGAGATTTCTACCACAGCATAAGGAATGAAGAAATTTGAAGGATTGTACATTCCCTATTAAAATATTATAATGCCTGCTTCTGCTACTTTCCCCAAATTTCATGATTCACTTCCTGCTTTTTTGCCCTACAAGATAGTAAATAAACAAACTGATCTTCGGCCTGTCTATCACAAGAGGTCAAACAGTATAATTAGATTATCTATTCTGGTCTTAAAGGTAGGATTAGAAGAATGTTTGCATAAAATTAACATGCCACCGATCTTTCAGTTCCAGTAATAAACACCTGTGCAGTGCACTCTCAAAGAAAATGATCTTCCCCCTCAAATACCGATGGCTTCCCAACTCCCATCAGCCTCTACCAGCATGGCCCAATGGTAAGGGATGATAGGAGTTGTAGTCCAGCCACATCTGGATTGCTACAGGTCTCTGGGCTACA